TATTCAAAAATAACCAGATTTGGAACTTGGCCAATGGCCCAAGAACTGTGTTGACGATCCAACTTTTTATGTGGGGGAAGAATTAGCATTTGATACAAACAAGCAATAGGTGGAGACTCATTAATGTGTGAGGTCATTCAGCACTGATAGAAGTAATAAAGTGGACATCATATTTCACGTTTATTATTGGATAAATGACAGCGTGTGGACAAAAGCGTACACCATTTTACCCTGGCAGGAAACTGCTGCAGTCATTCATTTTATTTAAATAAAAAATATGCCTTTGTCCTATGGGTTATCATTTATGAAAAAGAAAAGAACAAAAAAAAAATCTAGCAACTGACTGGATTAAAACTTAAAGACTTTATTCTGTGGTTAAAGACCAAATTTATGGTAGAAGGAATAAAAACGTATGCAAATTTGCTAGGTCCAAATCTCAACGATTGTGTTCTCTCCCTAAATTAGTAATTCTCTGTGGGTTTTGTTTTGAATTAGGCATTTTTGCTATAAAGTCTGATGAATTATATTCCTACTCTAAGGAGCAAGCAACTAGAATGCCGTATTTCAGATGCATATTTTTGCAGCACAGAGGGGATTAAATTTTGAATGTCTCAGCTGTTAAAGTCCCCTTCAGACTTGCCCAAAAGGAAAGAGAAAGATTTCCCTAAAGCAATTCATCAGCTCTATGTGGGCAAAGTGGCATTCTCTAAGAATTTGTAGGGATAAACTATACTGAACAGTTCAAGGGTTTGTAGCTGCTTGGAATATTTGATCTGTGTAGTTCTGATCATGCATTTAGCATACGTGATCAGTGTTCAATAACTGGGATTATAACAATTAGTAGTTAAATAATAACATCTTCAATTTCCTGAGTGCTCTGTGTGTGCCTGGCACTGTGCTCCACATTTTCCATCCATACTGTCTTTTATTATTCACTGATCCTAGGGGAAGGACTGTTTCTTACATTTCTAACTTCTTCTTGCAGTATGAAGAATTTGTTGAACCAAGTCTTGTGTATTTTAAACTGACAAGTACTTACTGTTGTTTTCTCTAACCTAATTGGTGGTTGTTGAATCTAAAGGATGTTCTGACTACTTCAATAAAGGCAACAGCAATCAATTCCATAAATAAATCATTAGACGTAGAACACGTGTGTAAACAGGTAGCATCTTCTAATTTGCTGTGTGTTGACGGACTCAAAACAGTTACCAGAACAAGCCACTGATGGAATAAATTTCTTGATGGAATAAGTCAAACAATTGAAAACAAGGCCTTGTAGTGTGTTAAGTGGCAATTTCAAACAGAATGAAGTGCTAGATGAATTTTCATCTGATTGGAAAGTGAGGAACATTGTGGAATTATAAAACAGAGCATTTTTATTCATTGATCTTTTCATTATCTTAAGGTAGGCTAGATAGGACAGATAAATACATCTGATTTAATTTTATTACTTTTGTTTTATGATTTGAACTCTGCCTAGCATCATCTCCTAGCACTTAGTCTATGGACTCTTTTTACCGAATGACTTGAAGGTTTCTGACCAAGTTACGGCCTTTAAACTGGGGTCCCCTCTGCCTAGAATGCCCATCCCATCTTTGCCCCTTAGTCTGCAGGAGTCTATTTGAATTCCACCGCCTGACAAGCATTCCCTGAACTGCTGCCCCCAGAGTCCCTGGACCCCTCTTCCTCTGGACTCCACAGCACCCTGTCCATTTCTCCAGTAAGCTCATGTCTTACACAGTACTATGATTCTTCTGTTTACTGGCAAGACGCACTAAGTTATGACTTTGGAAGCATGGTCCATCTTTTATGGCTTTATTTCTGTTTTGTAGTACCCCATACCCAATCAAGTCTTGTGACTTGATCAAGATTGTGACTTGAAGGCATGAACGTTTCATGCATATCGTGTGTATCAGTGCTTTGTTCACTTCCCCACCTCCCACATCTCTACCACAAGCGCGCGCGCACACACACACACACACACACACACACACATTCTCACTGTATTCAGCTGTGTGTAGACTCATCTGTGATTTTTACTGTAGTTGCTGAAGCTCAAGGTCATAATCTAATGGAAGGTCATGATCTAATGGAAGTGACCACAGAATGCACATTTGCATTCGGTTCTGCCATCGGCCATCTGGAGCCCAGGATGTGCTGCAAGTTACACATATTCTAGTGAAACTTGGGGTGGGGGAGTTTATATCAACACTCTGAGAACACATTCATGCTAACAAAAATACAGAACCATGAATAAAGGGGAAGAATTGGGTCCAGGCTTGTTCCATACAGAGGCTTGGGGCCTGCGCTGTGGAAGGAAAGCCTCTCCTCACTGCAGAATACAATTCCAGACGCAGGGAATTATATTCCGTGGGCGCCTGGCTTCCCTCACCCTCTCTGGGCTCATTGCTTGGTTCTCTTTGTTAGAACATGGGAAACAGACATGGCTGCCAGGGAGCAGGCCTTTACAACTGGGATTGCATTCTGTTTTGAAGTTTCTCTCAAAGTGGTTGATTTATTTTCCTTTTATGCATATGTGATGTGTGTGTTGCTGCTCACAATTGGTGGATTCAGAAATGGATTGGGTTTGTCCCCCACCCAGCCAAGCAGTGACTCAATATGGGGACTAAGAGAGCCGTGCGGGGCTGGAAAGAGACAGAGGCAAATCCTGTCTGGGCCCCCTCAAAACAAGCTGCTGTTTTGCAATAAGGAATCGGGTGACAATTAAAACAAGGTTCTTACCAGTTTACTTAATGGGTGAGTGGCCTCTTTGCTTTTATTTAGCCATCTGTTCTGGTCTCTGTCGCTTTAAACTTATAATATCCATCACTCCATTTAAGCTGTTACCTTGACACATTGCAATGTTGTGGACATAATGATTCCACAGAGGAGCAAATTAAAATGGTTTTTCATGATTAGAAGGTTAAATGAAGTAGGGCTGTGGCAGTTAGTGGTGAGATAAGGGGTGTTGAAGAGGCAGAGCTCAAGGGACTTTCTGGTGATTGGAAAATTAGGCTGGCTAGACAGAGGGGTGAGGCTTTTACAAATGATGGGGGCTGGGCAAGAATGAAGGCTTCCTTTGGGTGCCTCTGACCCCCCTGCCCCGGGAGCTTTTTCCATACAGAGGTTGTGATGTTGGGCTTGGGGTTTCTTGTCTTCCCTGGAAGGGTCTGTGGAAAGCAAAAACAAAAGCGAATTCCTCAGGAAGCGGGAAGCTGAAAACACGATAGCAGCAAACTTTTCAGCCTTTCCCAGAAAGGTATATGGTTTTCCTGAAGTTTGAAGGAGAATCAGGGTCAAGCCAGCTTCATGAAAGAAAGAATACTCCATGTGTCTTTACCCTGCACCTCAGGCCAGCGTTGTTCCTGAGATGTGTTCTCAGCTCTGCTCTTTTTTCTTGCTCCAGACTTCACCGTCCACCTGAATCTGGCTCCTCCACAGCCCCACCAGGATGACTCATCAGTCCCCAGAAACTGGTACCTGGAAGGCCCAGGGCTTTATCTTCCCACTCCCTGAAATCATTCCTTCTCTGACCACTCTGGTTTCTCCCCTGTCACCGAGACTCAAAATCTCAGTCCTCTCTGAATTTTCCATCAGCTGCTCTGTCTCATCTTTGCCGTCCACCTAAATCGCATTTCTCACTTCCTTTCCCACATTTTCTGTTCCC